CTCATTTTTTACCTGATGGGGGGTCTCTTCTTGGCGGGCCGGGGGGAGGGGGGGGGAGAGAGACCTGTTTTTTTTTTTTTTTTTTTTTTTTGTGGAAAGTATCAGATTAACTCTCCCTCTTACTCCATTCCCAAATCCAGCCAGATCGTGTTTTGCCCACAGAATTGAGAGGGGGGAGAAATCGGAGCCGTGTGATGAGATTATTTTACAGTTTATACAAGCAGCAGCATAAGTTTCCTCTCAAGGCCACGACACATAATCTCCATCATTTTCAGTGTAAAAGAGGGGGAAAAAAATCCCAAACACTTCCAAATCTGCTCATCCATCATCTTTTTTTTACTAAAAAGATCTGAAGCCCAGGAAATAAATATAAAAGTCTACGTTTACTCAGGAGGAGAAGCATTCAGCCTGTTATAATTCCTCACAAAATTAGATCCATACTGTAGATTTTAGCTAAAAAAAAAAAAAAGACGGGCAAAAAGGCTGACCGTGCAGTTTGGAGGCATGAAGTAAAGTTGGAAAATTAAGATGGGAAAAATGGCAAAAAAGGACTTAAATTATTACAGTTTTTGTTTTATTATGTACACATATTTAAAATCAGTCCTTCAAGCCCTTATTGTCAAGCTAGTTATGATAAACAGGTGAGCAGGGTGAGGACCGCAGGTATTTCCATGTCTTGTACATTAGGACAAAGCAGGAGAAATGTTTTCATCTGCAGTTAAAAGACAAAGTTCTTGACATTTGACATTTCAACCCTGGTGTTTGACCAGGTTGTGGCAACAAGCAGCTCAAATGAGCTCAGCTCAGTCTGAGGGAAGGATGAGCCACTGCTTCTTCCTCCTCCCTTTCATCTTTTGTTTTACGGATCATTTTCTTATTTCATTTCCTATTTGTTGTCATTTCAATTGTTCAGGCAGACAGAAAAGAATGAGGAGGCCCCATTGAGATGAGAAACACGGACGGACGGACGGACGGACGGACGGACGGACGGACGGACGGACGGACGGACGGACGGACGGACGGACGGACGGACGGACGGACAGACAGACAGACAGACAGATAGATAGATGGATGGATTAATGGATGGGTGGATTAGTATAGACAGATGGATGCATTTATTTTAGCTCACATTTATTCTTTAACGTCTTATCCTAAATTCGATTATGACATTAGGGTTTCATGAAACATTTGAAGTTTTTTTTTGTTGTTTTTTTTTTGTCTTCTGCCCACACTGCCTACATCTGTAATGACAACCGGAGGAGGACAGGAGGAGGTGACGTCTTTGCAAATAGACCCAAGAACTCAGGAAATAATTGGGGAGGCAGCACTGACAGGTGTCCAGTCCGACGCTCCGAGTGACAGCGACGCTGCTGAAGGCTCATCCACAAATAATGATCTGCTGTCAGATGTCACAGCCATTTACAGACACACCTGTAAGTTTGAGACGCAATTTGCATGATGGAGATCACAACTATAAATAGAATAAAACTCATTTATTTCCTTTGTAAACTTTTTTTTCCTAGTGTAGTCTTTAAGGATTGCAATACTTTCTAAATGTGAGTAAATTATTAGCTTTAAAGCAACAGTTTTCCCGAATGAAGCTGACCGCTAATGAATTTAAAATGAAAATAAGATCAGGAAAAACATGCATTTCAGACCATAACACTGAAAATAACAGAATGTCTTACCCAGTGGCCATAAAATGTATAATTTAGCCCCTAAGGTTTAAACATATTGGGAAACAAACTGGTTGTGACTGTTGGGATCAGTGTTTTGTTTTGTTTTTTTTTGTAATCTTGGGGTTGGGTTTTGTTTTGTTGCCTGCTGTTTCCTCACCATCCACCAGAGGTCCGCGATGGGCTTAGCCCCTGGAACATGCGGTGGCAGACCCTGTTGACGCACCTGTGGCTAATTTGAAGAGGGCTGAAGTGGAGTATTTATGCTGCGGCTGGCAAACACTCCGGTGCCTGAGTGTTAACCTAGAATGGTAACTTTCCCTGAGCTAGGCCCTCTGAGTTATTCACCTGAGTGATCTCCCGATGTGTTTCCCTCTCGTCAGGTTTTCAGCCGTCTCCCAGCGTGTAGCCTGTGGATACAAGTCTCCGAGTGATCTCCGCTCCGGTCAGCCTCCCGAGGAACCGTTACTCCCTCTGACGCCTCAGGTAGTACCTGTTGGAAGCCAGTACCCTCGCCCCTGGATGAATCGAGCTCTCCGTTTGCCAACCGTCCGCTACAGCTGCTCTTACCTGCCCGTCCTCCAACGTGCTCCGCTCGCCGGATTAGCGAGCTCTGGACCTCAGCCCTCCGATGCAACAATCAAACCCATTCCACCCCTTATCCAAGTAAGATTCACCGACTTTCTCTGCATTATCCTTCTGCCACCGACTGCTATTCACATCTGTCCTCTCATTTAACAGTTGATGACCTTGCAGTTCCAACCCCGTATCCAGATCTCCCCACCACTTCTCTTTATTTAATAAACTTTATTATTGTGATTCGCTCAACTGGTTGTGTTCTTGCATGTGGGTGCGTTCACTAGGACCCACTATGACAGTGACAGCATTATTGAATTCCAATTATGATTTTTGTTGCAATTTTCTTCAATCTTGTCCTTTGTCGCAATGTCAGTTCAGTTTTATTAATATCCCAGGGGAAATTGGTTTGTAGCATAACACGAAAAAACAGAAAGAACAGCACAACTACAAAAATAAGCAGAAATAACTGATCATGACAATGTCCAAATACTCTTAAATGCTTGTACATCACAGCTTTTAGTAGCCTGAGGCACTGCACACGATGCAATATGAAAATGGCTTCCTGTGAGCTTCAGAAAGTGGATCACTAACATTTATCTTGGCAGTGAAAGTACGGCCTTATGGTATTGGCATGTAAAGCATGAATGTGTGAGACTTAACAATGAACTGTGGCACACTTTAACAATGAATTCAACTTAATGCTAGTAACGTTGCACACAGATGTTGTGATGATTCGATTCAATGTATCGTGAGGCTTCTTACCCTCGCTGAGGCGCAAAGAGGAAAATCTGGAGAATTAACTCTAGAACTGAATCTCCTTTATGTCTGAGACCTGGTTCTGGTAATGCTTCCTCAAGGACCAGGGTGTGTCTCTGCCCAAAGTGGAGAGTTTAAGTATCTTGGTGCCTTGCTCAAGAGGGATTTGACAGATTGAGAGTTGGAGTTGTTGCTTTGGTTTGTTGTGCTAAGCAGGAAGGCGCAGCTTTCGATTTATTGCTACATCTACTTTACAACCCTCGCCAGGACATATTGATCATAATAAAAAAAAGAAGTATCAGCTGAAATGAGTTTTCACTCTGGGGTGCTGGACTCTGCCAGACGGAGGGGAGAGATTTGGATCCTCCAGCCTGAAAGGTGTTCCGGTCATCCGCTCAAAGCGTCGATCTCGACCAAGAATTTAGCTTCAAGAATTCAGAAAATAGCTTCAAAATTGCTACATGTAGAAATTTTAGTCCTTCAAACAAAACCAGTTTGTGTCAATTTTAAAACAGAGTTGAAATAACCTAGAGGTGGAAAAATAAGCAGAGCATAACATCTCCACTCTTTTCTTTCACAATGTTCTTACACCTCTTTAGCGGCTTTAGGATCTAAGCCACTAAAAATATATACATCAACCGTGGGCAACGAGGGAAGTGAAAGTCTATCTATCAGCTCAGATTTATTATTGGAGTGCAGAGTTTGCATCTGTGGAACTCGAAGTATTACATCCTACCACATATTGCTTCCAAGCGGTCTTTTGGGATTGCGATATTGCAAACACTGATATTGCAATGATATAAGATTGGATATAAAAAAAAAGGTAACACTTTATTTGAAGGGGGGTGAATAAGACTGTCATGACACCTTCATAAACATGACATAACACATGTCATGAACATGAATAAGCCTTCATGAATATTTATGACTGTTGTCATAAAGCGTCATTCGGTAAATTATGACACTTTTAATACAAAGTTGACATTATTCAAAATGTCTTTATGACAATTTGACATTAACCAGGAAATCATTACTGTTTAAACTTTACCTTTAATAACATAAAGTTACCTAATTTTTAAAGTGCAATCAATAATACTTTTATAACAAATTTATATCAGTAATGATTTCTTGGTTAATGTCAAGTTGTCATAATAAAGACATTGTGAATAATGTCAACTTTGTGTTAAAAGTATCATAATTTACTGAATGACGCTTTATGACAACAGTCATAAATATTCATGAAGGCTTATTCATGTTCATGACAGGTGTTATGTCATGTTTATGACAGTGTCATGTCAGTCTTATTCACCCCCCTTCAAATAAAGTGTTACCAAAAAAAAAAAAAAAACTCATTAATGAGCTGGACAAACACTCAACTCAAAATAATCAAAGATAAACCTCATCACACACATTTAAATAAACAAAAAAGCAGAAATTTAGATTTTTTTTTGTCTGATAAATTAAATTCTTTTCTATATACATCAAAACTGAATATGATTATTACATACAGACCCTGTAGGGAGCTCTAGGTCTGCCTCTTAATCTGAGGCAGAGCCATCCTGAATTATTTTTTATTCCTATCTCATGACCACAGGTGAGGTTTGAAATATAAACTAATAAATTGAGAGGTTCATTTTCTGATTCAGTTCATTATCAACAAGGCATACCTGACCATGGAAGCACACTGTAAAGTACTTCAAAATGAGGAAAGTTGAGCAATTAGGAGCGCTGTGAAGCCTAAAAGAATATTTTTCAGTAGAGGAACAATGTCTGCATATAAAAGATGCATCCTTTAAGTTTACAACCTGTTTTGTGCCTGAAATAAGTTATTTCTATGAATCAACAACAACAAAAGAAACCCTCAAAGCAGACAACATGCATACTTAAGAGCTGAAAAATTATGGTAAGTGGAGTGAAATTTTATAATTGAGAGGTTTTAAAAGGTGTAACACACATTAAAACGTCACCTGAAATTACAAAGCTCCGTGCCTGCTGTGGTGTGCTTTCCCCTCAGTTTACTTCGTTTTGCTAACCTTTTCAAAGCTGAGTAACTGGTAGCTATCAGATGTCCATTAAAAACTTCCACTGTGGGTATGCTTCCTGCGGTTGCTTCAGATTACTTTCACACTGCTCATAAACAGCTCTGCAGGTTTGTTTGAGGGAGGAAAAACAAGCACTGCTGTGTATTTCTGCAGAGACTGATCCTCAACACTGAAGTAGAACGTGTTCCTTCGCCACCCGTTATATTTCTCATGCAGGCTCATCCACCGATGCTGCTTGCACGGTGCGTTTGGTAAAGCACTTCTCGGCTGCCGAGGAGCAGAGATAAAGCCAGACTGTGCGCACGAAAGAAAGGGCAGCGTGAAAGCCGCTTAGGGCCGGCATAACTGTGGAGGTTATTTTGATTCGCTGCCGCATTCTGAGAGAGGAGTGTGGTGACAGCATCTGTCAGCGACGCGTTACCAACGAGGCAGCAGATACGACCTGTGGCGCACCAGCAGCGTTACCTCTGCACTGAAAGACAAAGATGAACACTGAACCTGGAGGATTCCTCGAGAACTCCAGTCACAATTGGTAATATTGTGACAACAACATTAAGTACTACTTACTGCTTTTTCTTTGGGTAACTGTACGGTTATGACGCTGCACTTATAGCCACACAATCACAAACACTGCTCTTGAAAAACATTCCTGTAATGCGCTTCTGTAGGATGCCAGTCACAAAAATATTTAATTATTGATACTCTCACTGAGTATCAATAAATACTGAGAAAATAGTAAAACTAACAATCCCGACAATACGGAAAATATCGTCACAATTTGAATTTGTCGTGACAATAAATGAAAATTCTTACCATGACAAGAAATTCATCATGATAAATGATAAGCGATAAATGTCCACCAGTAGGCAGAAACGAACTGGACATCACCCTGAACACACCATCCCCATGGTGAAACATGGCAGTGGCAGCATCATACAGTGGGAATGTTCATCTCTTGAGCAGGAAATAGGAGGCGTGTCAGAGATAAACGCAGAGCAAAATGGGGCGAAGGTTCATTTTCATGCAGGAAAATCTCCTGTCTTCATCAAAGTCTACCTTAGTGTCGTTGAGCTCGGCCAATCCTGTACAAGCGTTAGCCAGCAGGAAGTCGCCGCTCAGGACCGCCATCTTGTTCCCAAACTCCATGTCCTTCAGCGGTCCGTCTGAGACGGTCCACTCCTTCAGATTTACGATCCCTCGATGTACCAGGAACGCTGTGTGGATGAGCTCTGTGATTTCTGCCAGGTTCCTCTGACTACAAAGCAAACAAAAAAGAAATAAAAATAAGAGGGAAAAACAGCTTTTCTCGTCTTGCTTTCTAAAGGAGGTTCTCCTGAGACTTGACAGACTAAGAGCTTTTTGACTTTTTGAAATATGCAGTTTACAAAAAAGAGAGCATATGATGCCTTTTTTCTAACGTGCACAAGAGTAAAATACTCTAAAAGACTTCCTTTTCATCTGACATGCAGGTGCATTATGTCACTTATTGTTTATTTCAGTGATTAAAATTTAAAAACTAAGCTCTTTCAGGTTTATAACATATAGTGTGATATATTCCAAAGGATTTTTTCTATTAATTTAGATTAGATAAAGCTGATGAAACTCAAATTACCACTGTTCAGAAAATTCTTAATGTAAAAAAACTTTGCATTTTGACAACATTTTTTATTTCCACTCAACTTTCCAATAATATGCTTGGACACAGTAATCTTTTACCAGCCAGCTCCTTTTCCAGTAATCATTTATGTATATTTTGGATGTAGAAAAACTCAAAAATTATATATTATGGCTTAAATGATTTCTAGGAAGATGTTGCTATTGGCAACGTCAACAAAGAGGGTAAGCCACAAAAAGTCATTGTTAAAGAAGCTGGCTGTTCACACAGCCTCTATCCAAGCTTATAAATAGAAAACTGAGAGAAAATAAAACTTGTGCCAGAAAAAAAGATGCACAAGAACCCATCAGACGTTTCTGTATTAAAAAGTTTATTTTTAATTTTTTTTTTGGGGGGGGAAACAAAACATTGGTTTTTGTTTCATGTAGTGTAAATGTAATAGAAGAGTTTCACTTTTTTTCCCCCAACTATACTCCGTAGAAATTACATACACAAACAAAAAGCATCAATGTGATCAGAACTGTTTACGTCGAGATCCAGAGAAACATTCTCTGCGTTAAAAATCCCTGTTTTTCATCCCCCAAGGCATAAAACCAAGAGACATGTCAGAGATTTCTCCACACAAAGTGTCAGGGGGTTGCATAAAAAAAGAAATTAAACTTATCATTATCAGATAACAGCCATTCTTGATTATGAGGAGAGGGGGGAAAAACGACACAACAGTGGTGTTTGAATAGTCTTTTAGAACAGCCTAAGGGAGGATATAATCAAATGTTGATTCAGTCATTGGTGGGGGATAATTAGGCCTCTCTCCATATGGAAGGCGCTCGCCACGCTGCGACAGGAGGGATCCATCCAGACAGGGTCGGGTGCGCTGATAGCCACTTACGACCTTCTTTCAGCCGCCGTGGAAACCTGATGAGCCGCTCGTCTGCTCCGAGCTACGACGCCTTCCTATATACGCACTCGCAGCCAGGTAATTGCCATTCTCTGCGTCAAAAAGATGTGATTAAAATTCAATAATGTCATGTATTTTGCCCCTCAATCACACCCATTGTCTGGTCGGTTTCGCTGCTTGGTGGCGCACGGCAACAACAGCGTCGTTTCCCCCAAAGAAAGTTAATAAGTTCAGGGCTCAAATAAGAGCAAATTAACAGACTGACAGTCGAATGCACTCGGGGTGAATCAGAGTGATAGCTGCACTTCAAGAGGAGAGCGAGTTGTTACAATGAGACGAACAAAACATTATGATTTTAGGTCGTGCAGGTTTACAACTTTAATTCCAAGTCGACCTCACAATGACCATTTCATCTGAATATTCATAATAAACACGCTTTTTCTTCTGGTTTCTCATGTAAACGATCGATTGTAGGGATTTGTTAAAGAGATCCTCTCTCACTGCAGCCGGATTTCCTTCCACGTTCTGTGACAGAGACTGATGAACAATAGGAAAAAAAAAAGGACACCCTTGTTGGTTCTTAAGGTTTTTAGAAAATTAGACAATTATTTGAAAAAAACTGGGATACAGGGAAGGCTGTATGGACTAAGGTACTATTGTGATATTGATAAAAATTATGATTAAAAAACTAATACTTCCTTTTCTTAGTTGTGGCTGTGACTGCATGTTAGCATTCATAGCAACACAAGCACAAATACTGCTGTTGAAAAACAATCTCAATAGAAATAGTGTTACTCAGGGTGAAATAAAAGTGATTTATAATCACTAATATGCACACAGTAACTGCATTTAATCATATTTTTTTTAATTTACTGATGTTTATTGAAGCTCTCGTGAAACAAACAGTGGAGAAAATAATAAAAAATAACATTTCTGATAATAATCAATCCAACAATAAATCAAAATTATTTTGATAAGAAATCTCTCACGATAAATGGCCACCACTACTGGGACACCCCATCAAAGAAACATATTTAAATGCATATTTAATATACATTTTGACAAGCCTGAGATATTCAGATAACATAATTAAACAATTATTGATTTTTCAGTATATAAAGTGATCTGTCAGAAACAACTGTTGCTGTTCATCAATCTGGAAAAGTTTATAAGGTCATGACTTTGCAAAAAACATCTGTCTGACAGCTGGAGTTTGGTCCAAACTAAACCATCAACAGGACAATGATCCTAAGCACAGCAGTGAATCTACAACAGAAAATAATCAAGGTGTTATACGTCCCTGTCAAACTCAAGACCTGAAACTGATTGAAATGCAGTGGGACCTTAAGAGAGCTGCGTGGAAAAGAAATGAACCTGAACTGAAGAAATGTCTCTACGGCGATGCGAGAGACTGATGAAGTCGTACAGAAAACGACTTCTGGGTGTTGTTGCTGGTTGCCGTGGTTCATGGGGTGTGAATAATCTCCTCCATGATTGTATGACACAAACCAGAGATTGATTATTCAAATAAGCCAGTTCTCCCTGTTAAATAATTAGCAGCAATCTATTAGTTCCCGTTGTAAACTACTTTCTGTTTTTAATGACGCAGACTTGACAGAAAATACTGACTGCATGCTACTGTGTCAGTGTGCCAGGTGTTGATTTGATTACACTCAGCAAAATTAGGCAGAAACATACAATTGTGATTTTTATATTGAGTGCTCTCATTGTGTGTCAATTGATGTTTTCTGCTTTAAGAATTAAGTTTCGAAAGGTTTGAGGTTTTTAAAATTCAAAATGTCTTACAAGAGAAAATATTAATATCGAGTTGCATGGTAACTGAAGGGATCCGAATGACACCTGTGTAACCTCAATTTGCTTATTGTGTTTTTCTTGTGTTCAAAATTAAGTAAAAAACTAAGGAATCCCACACAGTGAAAGCATCATCGGTTGAAACCCGGTGCGCACACACAATCCAAACCCTCCAATCTAGCGGCCCTCATCAGCAGCAGTGGAGCTTGGGGAGGAAAAAGGGGGATAAGGGGGCCGATGTATAAATAGCTTTGGTTCCCAGTTGCATAGCAACCAATGCCATCTTCCTGAGGTGTAACGCCCCCTTACCACGCCCCTTGTCCTGACTGTTCTGTTCCATTTTCCTCCCTCTGCAGTCTGCCTCACATCAAACACAGACTTGCGGATCTAAGTGAGTTCCAGTGTGCGATTTAAAAACCTGGCCTGTCCATCGAGCGGCCAGTTTGATGCGACCGGTGATGTGATTTTCACTGGACACGCACAACAAAAAAATTAAAAGGTGTGGCTGGTGCAAGTTGGACAATCTGCGAGAGTGGCGAGTGTTTCAATCTGTCCATCCATCTATTTATCTTGGTGGTGCTTTGGTGAATCATCAGTGTCAGGCAGCAGAGTGGGAAATGTTTTACAAATGCTCCCTGTCAGAAGGGAGGAGACCATCCCCCGGAGGTTTCAATCACCCCCAAAACCCACCCCACCTCAACTCCCTCAATCCCTCCATCTCGTCATTATCCGAGGTGCTAATGAGCCCAGGAGAGGTGGAGGCAGAGGCAGAGAGGGAGCAAACTAGTGCAAATGAGGTGATCAAATCATGCTGTGTGTGTCTGGGAGTGTGTGTGTGTGTGTGTGTGTGTGTGTGTGTGTGTGTGTTTCAGTTTGGACTATCCATCTCATGACTAGGCGAACGCTGTGTGTTGGAACCAGTGATCTGATGTGTGTGCCAGATCGTGTCGTGATGCGGCTGCGTGGTAACGCACCACCTTCCAAACCAGGTTTGAACACCTTCGCGATGCCGTTTGTTTTTGGGAGGCAGGATGGGAAGGAGAGGTTTCTCAGCAGTCAGGATGCTTGTGCTCAGACATGGCTGCACCACACAGATGTGCCAGCCTGCAGTAAGAAAGAAGCCTTTCAGGCACCAGGAGCACAGCAGTCACTTCTGGAAAACAGTTGGCACACACCCACATGCCTGTCCTGAGCCGCATGCTGGCATCTGGCCTGTGTGTGTGTGTGTGTGTGTGTGTGTGTGGGTGGGTGCATGTGTGTGTGGATGTGAGGAGGCCCAAGCAGACCTCAGAGTGTCATCTGAAGCATTACATTCATATTACATTACCACACTGCGCACCTCGATATGTGTAATAGGTCAATCTATGTTTAAGGCCTAGAATCTGCACGCTTAATCATTTGTTTCTGATGAAGTCGCATTTTCAAATATTTACTCTGTGACCGTTTGCACGCTATGTTAGTTATTAATTATGAGAATAGGGTGTGAGTTAATTACCAGCCTGAAGGTATGTTAAGATTTCACAGTTCTTTCAAAAATAAAATGTTTCCATCACAGTTTCTACAGCTAAAAGTATTTTTAATTCGACTTTTGAAGTAGTTTTGGTCCTCAGTTATTTGAAGCTGCCCACAGCTAGTTGGTTAGCTGAAAAACGGCTACGACAGGTTTTCCTCGGATACCGTGGGACGTCTGTGGCCCAGTGGCTTGAATAGTTGTTTAGCTATCAGAAGATTGAGGGACCGATTCCACCTCCTGCCACTAAAATCCAAAGTTGTCCACCAGTCAGCTTATCATGTGAACAAAGATCTGGTTGTTAGGAAATACTTCCAACCCAATAGAGTTAAATTGATTTGAACTTTAGCTCACTACCAGTGACGTTTACAGTCAGGTTGATGTAGTTCCAGGTGAATTATTAGCTACTATGTGGAGCTAGGTAGCAGCTACACATTATTGCTGCTAAATTATTCCCTTTATATACAAAATTGAAATCTCAGAGGCCACAGTTAGGTTGTTGTATACTTTTTATTTAAAACCATGAAACCGTCAAGCTTACACCATGAAAACAGCCACATCAAACATATAATTTTTTTCCCCATCTGGTGCTTGTTGTCAGAGTTGCAGTACTAAACAGCATTTTTCCTGCATATCAGAGCAGCTGAAAATGCAGGCAGATGGTCCATTGCAGAAGAACACATCTATGTTGCTGTTAGCTCCTTTAAAATTAAAGTTTCCTCTTGCTTAATTGCCCATTTCCACATATTTCAATCAGACTGCAGCAAATCGGAAGCAACCTGCTGCAAAATGTTTTGGAGAGGCACCCGTGGGTTGATGCAGAGAGGACAAGGATGTACTCAATTAGCATAAAATTAAGGGACAGCAGGTCACGTCTGAGAGAGGCTTTTTAAATGTCAATTTATTATCTTGAAAGTGACAGCAGCTGCAAAGCGTGTCAGTATAATAATGCAACTTTATGCTCTCTGGTGAAAGTGTCTGTCCTTTTTAAAGCTGCACAATTAATATTGGAGCTGTAACATTCTTATGGGATCTGTGTAGAGATCTGACCACAGGTCCAAAAATTCAACATGCTGGTTTCTAAGCCACTCTGTCCACACTTTTATCTTATGATACAGGGCTGTGTGCAGAAAAATACAGCTGTATTAAAGTAGAAAACATTTCATTGAAGGAATATAGCTGAATATTGTGATACTGATCGGCATTTTATTAACTCAAATTTTCCTTGCTTTTCATCATGATGACCTCACAACACAAGATGATCTTGATTATCTCTATAACTAGTCCCAACAGCACAATTAAACCAGTGATGGTATGCAGATTATCCTCCTGAAATCAGTTTTTATGATTTCAATCAGAAACGGACTGAGAATGATTATTTGTATATTGTCTGTTAGTATTAATAAGACTGAGTGAAGAGCTTGTCAACAACTTTCCTGGATAACATCACCATTAGCACATTACAGCTTTTTCTTGCAAATGCAGTTCCTACTTAGTGTTTGTTTGAAGGATAACTGGGGAACTGTTTATGTCTGCAGGAACGCTCCCGGTATGTTCATCTGTGTAACATGGATTTATGGCACATCTGTGAGCTGAAACAGATCGGTTTGTGTAACTAAATGCAATGTTCTGTGGAGCAACTTCAAAAAGTGACAGCAGAGAGGACTCCCAGCGATCGCTAAACTCTGTCATGGAAGATTAAGTTGTTGTTTTTTTCGCAGGAAAACAAAAGGTGGTACAACCAAAACTTTATGTCAGCATATGCACAATTGGGCAGCAATAAGATACCCAGCGTGCTCCACACTCAGCTAAAAGATACGTCTAGGTGAATGTAAACATCACTGATAGTGGAGAAAAATCTGCTGACATCCAAATGGTTAATCTGTAGCATCCAATCAGCTCAATCATATAAAATATAAGGTGGTTGATGAGATGGGATTTTTCCAGCAGCTGCTTATGCTGCATTCAGGTACAGCTGGGAGACTAGGTTGTCACAAGGTGATGTTTTATCTTCAAATATGGTTCCAGTCTTATGAAAAGTTGCTAACATTATATGGACCATTTTGATGTGGTTACATTGCTTTGTAATCCACCAATCTTTTCAGATATTGGCAATGCCTGCTTATGCTACTTCAGTCATTGAAATAAATCCAACCAAATCTTCAGGTAGTTTTATACTTTGCACTTTTTAATTTTTTTATGACATAATAAAATCAAATTAGTAAATGTATGTGATTGAAGTGTACTGAAAACATTTCAAATTGTGGCTTTAACAATTGAGAACATACCGAACCGTGACTTCTGTGTACTGCTACACCCTAAATATTCACATTACTCCTCAATGTTCAAATAAAATATTTTTAGTGGATGATAGTAAAAAAAAAAAAAAAGAAAAAAACCAACTCCTCCAAACATCACTTTGCATAAAGTAGATTTTTCTTAGAGTAGCTTCCATAAACGGTGTGAGCGAGGCTCAAAATGAGATTTGTATTTTTGTTAGAATTCATCAGAATGTCAGATGCTTGTTCATTTTCTTTATTCTATTTTACAAAAGGTAAATTCTCCCATCCTACCTGGGCCCACACTGTCTCCAGAGGATGAGGCAGAGCTGGTGTGGACGATAACCACAGCAGACAAGGTAGAGTTACCTGACTCCAGACTCTTATTTCCCTGTTTATCCTGAAGCTGCCACATAACTGGGACAAAAGCGGGATCGCCTGTCTCGGTCTGCCTGCCGAGCGCATTTATGGCCCTGCACTGCGATGCCACAGATGTTCACTGCCCACAGTTTCCTCTCAGGCAGCAAAAACATCCACAGAGAAGTGACAAACTAGCTGCAGTGGACTGGGAGTGGGAGACTGGTGGGTGATCCATTTATCTAAAGAAAGAAACATCAGCTGCCCCTATACTAGTAATGTTCTAAAAACCTTGTTTCTTCCTGTAAAGGAAGATTATGATTCTTTCTTATGTCAGACCCTCAAAATGTGAGGTGAATAATTTCTAGAAACAAGCAAACATTTAGTAAAATCATCCATCTGCTCTGGTTCAGCCTCGAATTACCTTGGGTAGATGCCGCTGACCATGTCCTTAGTGAGGAGCTCTGAAGCTGCGTGGCTCGGTCCTGCTGCTTTGGACAGCAGCAGGACAATCAGTCCTCTCATCTGAAGATTGTTCTTGCTGTCATAGACGAAGCCTCTGCAAAGAGACGCCAACAGATCACTGAGCTTCAATCACACGATGTAGGAGTAAAGTACAACAGAAAGGAAATAATAAAAGAGAAATGTACCAACAGTTATCAAATAATCAACATGTATGTATTAACATTGACATCCTGCATAAATCAGTTTTTCTATAGAGGTCCTCTTGAGTGAATTTGCTACTTGTTTAGCCCATTTGTTATATTCATCAACTACATACAAGCTGGGGTTTTTTTTGTTGAAAATATGATTTTTATGGCTGCTTTTAGAGTCAGATATTTATTTTTTTTGATTATCTGCATATTCTCAACATAGACTTTGGGGAAGAGTACTTGGCTACCATTTCATGGGTTTGATATATTTCCAACAACAGGAATGTTTCCTCCTAATGTTTGCTTAGGTTGAGGAAATGCATCGTAGCAACGATCAGATGCAATCTGCTGGTTTCCTTTAAAATCAGAGGTGTTGCAGTTCAAAACCGATGAAAGTATGCAAGGGGATCGTTGACTTAGATGTATTTTTTTTAACCCTTTTAAAAATAACTTTAAACATTTTTTTTTTTGTAAAATGCAGTCTTAGCTTAAGGATCCAGATAAGGAAATGTCACATAAGTCCTGCTGCTGTGAGTTTTATTCATGGTTATTAATGACTAATTAATGATTAATTAATGATGATAGGTCTGTTACCAATACGCTGAAATTAAATGAAAAGGTGTTTCAGTAAAGTGTGAGCTAAAGGGTTTGCACACTTCTTGCACCTTCTTCGTTTTTTTTTTTTTTACATTTCTTCTCAATACATTTTTTTTATTTAAACAAGGTATAAGTTGCATTAAATGTGGAAAAGGTGTCATTACTTTTGAATCTCAAAAATCTGTTCTGTTGACAGCGTTGTGCGTGCACTTTGATGCAGTCAGAAATAATCTTGTGATTTATTCGTTTTATGTTGGATTTAAAGATGTTACTCTATCAAATATGTATGATTTTGTATGTAGTGGTCCTTATAGGAGAACAAAATGAATAAAATGAATTATCAGATCAGATATCTGATTATTCTTGGTAAATCTAGGTGAATATTTTTTATTATTTTAAGTTTTAAGGTGATTATATTTGTTATTTTTTTAAATGATCATAGCTGAACTGATGCAGTATGTAAACCAAATTAAAAAGGGGAAATAAATATTAATCTGCACTATGATTTTTTTGTATATATTTTACAAACAAATGTCAGGTTTTGACCACTTTGTATGATAAAAAAAAAAATCTGCTAAATTTAGGAGAAAAAAAGATAAAAGGATCAGCAGAGCTTAGGGAGTTTGCCGTGCATTTTCTAAAAAAACAAACAAACAAAAAAAAAAACATGAATTTAATTGATCAGTTTATGTTTTATTCTGAGGTATTTAAAGTCAGGGGGTCATTCCCACCCCAACCAGCTGACACATCCACAGCAGCACACACACAAAGCCCAGCGATGGCTGCCTCCATGGTGAGCAGATTAAATATCTTTTTACTCTCTCTGGGGAGCGGTTAGACGCAGCACCTCTAATCCCGTCCCTATGGGAGCCCCTCGTGCCATGAATCACGCTCTCGTTAGGAGCTCCGGAGCAGACAAGCGGTCACGCCCCCCTCCGCTCGATGCCCAGACACGGGCCTCAACAACACCCCCCCATCAACCCTCTCTGACCCTCCCCTGCACCGCAGCGAGGCTGGAGGAGAAGAAACGAGAATCTATAAAACCCTGAAGCTTTTTCTTTAAAAAAAAAAAAAAAAGAAGAAGAAGAAGAAAAAGAGGTAAAAAAAAAAAACCTTTCCCGTCACATAAAATGCGTGAAATTAATGACAGGTCGAGCTCTTCTTCATTACAGCTCCTGAGGAAAAATTTATTGTCACTCTAAATCTTTACTCAACAGGAAAATAGTTGTTAGATCAGCAAGCAGGACGCAAGAACCCGTAAAGCTGCCCCTTTCCTGGCCAGTCTAAGTAAGACAGTGGCCTGAAGGTGGCACATGATTAATATTTATGTCAGCACGCACACCAGAATGCATCAATCAATCACAGCCGGCCTCCTGCAAAGGGGTGGGGACACGACGATGATGTGAAAGAAGAAAGATGGTGAGGGCTACAGTGAAGCTGGAGGAATGGGCTGCTGTCATTTTAAAGGGTTGTGAACAGGTCACCACGCCCTCTGCTCTGCAATCGCAGTGCAGGAATTCAGGGAGCCGCAGCCTGCCAGGGCTGGAGTCGGCGCATGCAAATGTGTCCATGCTCCGACATCTTTTCCTAAACTACAAACTGATAAATGAACGATAACTGTGCAGTTTTCCTCCAGGAGAGAGGTTTGAGCCACCAGCAGACACGGTTACGGGTTAAAATGATACGATAATATCGACCCAGGGTCTTTTTCACTCCACAGTTTACAGGATTTGATTCTCACATTTCCAAAAAAAAGTACAAAGATTTTTATTGTAAACCTGTGGATAGAAATACTGAGCGAGTTTTAGATATTGAAAGCAATATTTCTTGCCAGATTCATAAGACAGACGGAGGATTCGATTTGCTTTCTGAGTTACGAAGGCTGTTGGCCAAATTACTTCTGATTTCTTCTCATTTCTAATCTTTAATGGGACAAATAACCATTTAATTCTTTAAAGGAAGAGTTATTTAAATAATATTTTAAATAAACATAATATAAACATTTTTATCTTGAATAAACATCCTTATTTAATTTTAAATACTAAAAATGTTTAGTCATGTTACTGCTTTTGTAAGTCTAAGAAGTGCTTGGCAACCTAAAAACAGTTTCAGGCAGTTGTTTTGACTCTTTTTGGATTTTTTTCACATTTCTGCTCTTGTTTTAGTGGGATTTTGATGGTACTATGATATGAACGTTCTGATGATTCAATAATAAAGTGAATATGAAGATAAAAAAAAATAAGCATAAGCCTGGGGGGAAGTGAATTTCAGTCCAAGTTAAACTCTCAAGGACTGTCCTTAATGGAAGTAAAGTTTCTTCTCTCTGAGCTGCAGTCCCCTCGCTGTAACTCCACACTTTGGGGCAAAGTTAGCTGAGCAGCAGTTTTTGAGAATGAAAGGAAAGGAAAAACCGAAACCCAACGCCACGAGGGTCTGCCTGTCTGCTATTGTGGATATTTTTATCCGCCCCGCATCTAAAGCCGAGACACAGAGGGAAATACGAACCAGCCAATGCGAGCTGACAGTGAGGAGTCAGACTGTCAAGAGGTCTGCTGCAGCCTTCCCTGCTGCTACAACACCCAAATGGATTGTCATATCAGATTTAGGCGTATAGGTTATTACACCCTTGGGTTCCTCTTTCCATCCTCGTCCGAGTGACAGGATTGTGTTTGAGGACTCTGTCTTCCAGGTCTCTTTCCTTGTTTTTCTAAGTTTTGGTTTATAAATCATAATTATCGATACTTGTGCTGTAAGATGCTGTCTATAAACCAGCACCAGACTGATGACCTCACCTGTGTCCTCACCTGTGTCCTCACCTGTGTCCTCACTGTAAAGTTAGTCAGACTGGAAGATTGAGTCATTTCTTTCTCTTCACCACAAACAAACATCCATCCATTTCATACCAGTTCTTCCATCCACCCAACCATCCATCCATCCAATAGTAGTTCTTCCTTCCATCCACCCATCCATCCATCCATCCACTTCATAGCAGTTCTTCCATCCATCCATCCATCCATCCATCCAATAGTAGTTCTTCCTTCCATCCATCCATCCATCCATCCATCCACTTCATAGCAGTTCTTTCATCCATCCATCATCCATTCATCATCCATCCATCCATCCATCCATCCATCCATCCATCCATCCATCCATCCATCCATCCATCCATCCATCCAAAAACAATTCTTCCAATCAATACATCCATCAATCCCATAATTGATCATCCATCCATATATCCATCCATCCATCCATCCATCCATCCAATAGTAGTTCATCCATCCATCCATCCATCCATCCATCCATCCATCCATCCATCCATCCATCCATCCATCCATCCATCCATCCAAAAACAATTCTTCCATCAATCAATCAATACATCCATCCAC